TCCCTGAGCCCCCCAACACTGACCGGACGGCACGATGGGAGGATGTAAATTGGACTATAATCACAATCTGTGAGATAGAGAGTGAGTCTCTGTCCCCGGTACTTGCAGAGGCCCTATGCATTTTTCAGCATAGTAACCCCTCATCGCGGTTGCCGGGATTTGAACCCGAGACCTAACCCTTGTGGCACTCCCTCGCTACCAGTTGAGCTACGCCCACCGGTGTTTAAAAAAACTATAAATAGCTCTCATTTTCTCCATTTACTTACATCAACTCTACAAAATCTAAATACATCTTATTCTCTTAATACTCCAATTCTTCTAATTTTCCTAATTCTTTAATAAGAATGCGTTAAACATCATGTTCTATACACAATGTCTTCATTATATTGCCAGAAGACTTTGTACTGGGGAAAAGAAGAAAGCAACGTTTATGATATGTTACACAGACGTTTCCTTACGATGCACTCAACACTCATTGATGCCAACAATGAATATGTGTTGTGTTTATTTGATAATTATTCAAATCATGTGCACCGTTTCATATTGAATAAGGCTTTATATAATACTACGTACTTGATATTAACTTAAAATGATTAATAGTACTACTCATACCTACAAAATGTGTCTCCTTTTAAGGGAACTCATTTGTTAAGAACTCCAAGTTAAGCATGCTAGCACTAAGTAGTCATGGGATGAGTGGCCTCGTGGAAAATTTCTTAGAGCACACACTACTGAGAACAAAGTGTGCCATAAAAGACTCATGTTGGTTTGTGAGGATAATACTATTGTTCTAAAAATCGCTCTAAGCGCTCGACTAGTCCCCGCCTAGGCGCTAGACGGTGGTCGGGCGTCCCGATTTTAGTCAAGGCGCATCGACTAATTGATTTGGCGCCTAAGTGAATTAGTCGACCACCTAGGGCGCCTAGTTGCCCGCCCAAAGCACTTAATCCGTTAATCGGCCGCCTATGTGCCTAGATTTATTAAACATTTTATTTTGCTTTTTTGTTTTTGTACTCAAAGAGATCTATATGTACCTTTAACGTTAACAAGCTACTATTTTACTAAGGCTAAAGGGTCAAATAGGCCCCTGTACTCGTCCGGAATGCTTAATTCGCATCCTAAACCCTAAAAAGCTCGAATTCACCTCTTGAACTCAACAAAAAGGTTCAAATCTCATTTTTTTGTAAGTAAACGTCCGGTCACCACCCGTCACCATGTCAGATGCCAACCGTGCATCCCGCGTGGCAATTTAAGAGGTCAAATAGGCCCTTTAACCCGACAGAGTTGTTCAGTTTACCCCCTCAACCATTAAAAAGTGCCAAAATTGCTATTAAAAAATATTAAAATAAAAAATAAAAAATATAAATATAAAATAATATACAAGTTCATAATATAAAATATAAATGTCTATTTATAAAATAATAAGAAACTATTTATATTTTTTTGGTAAATTGAATATGTAAAAAGTATAACGAAAATAAATTATTTTTAAATACATAATACGGAGTATAAAAATGTGATATGAGTAGCTATTTTCGTATTATACTTTTTATATGGTATATTTTTGTATGGTATATATAATTGGTATGAAGTATAGTATATAATTCTAGAATAAGCGGTCGCTGACTCACTCTCCCTTATAGCAGGTCCCAAGTTCATTTTTCAATGGAGTGAGATTGATCCCAGTTTACCCCACGCCCCCCAAACCCCCCTCCCCCAACCCCCTGGGGTTAAAAAATCTAGAATAAAATAATACAAAGTATATATACATATATGCATGTGTGAGTGGGTGTGTGTAATTTTACATATAAATCTAAAACATATTAAGAATATTAAAAAATGTCAAATGAAAAATACAACTCTAAAATATAAACATAATATACATTGTGAAATAGAAAACATAAAATGTGTTTTATATTACCAATTATTACATATAAAACACAAAAACATATTTAATTTTAATTTGCAAAAAAATAGATTTAAAATATCAAAATAGTTTTAATGAATTTATTTTGGTTTATTTTGTATGCTTTTACCATGAATATAAATAAACCCTTATTATATTATTTAATAGGATGTCTATATTTTATACTTTCGACTTGTATTTTATTTTATATTTGCAATTTTCTATTTTTTTCAATTGTTTTTGCAATTCTTACACTTTTTAACGGTTGAGGGGGCAAACTGAACGACTCTGTCGGGTTCAGGGGCCTATTTGACCCCTTAAATTGCCACGTGGGATGCACGGTTGACATCTGACTGGGTGACGTGGCGTCGTGGCGGCGACCGAGCGTTTACCTCCAAAAAATGAGATTTGAACTTTTTTGTCGATTCAGGGGGTGAATTAGAGTTTTTTAGAGTTCAGGGTGTGAATTGAGCATTCCGGACGGGTATTATGTATGCACACACCTGAGAATATTATGTACCCATGAGGTGACCACTTGAAGAATATTATGAACTATCTCTAGTAATAAAGCAAGAGGATGACATTTTTTCTCTAGATGAGGAACTTTATCCCTCTTTGAGTGGAACTTAACTAATTAAATGATTTTATTAGTGAAAAATTGCTAAATCCTTTAATATATTGATAATATTCAAACATTTGATCAAAAGCCACATTATATAAAAATTAACCATTGGATGTATGAAGATAGTATCAAGAGATGAGGAATGTTCACATGAGATCTATCTAGAGTCTACCATAAATTAAAATTATCCCTCAAAACTAATCAATATATATATATAAAAGAGGAACTTTTTAAGAGCATACGGCGCGCCACATAATCCTGCCATGTCATCATATATTACAATTATTTAATTACTATTTATACATTTTATTGTTTTTATTACATTCTATTTTTATTGCATATTGATATGGAAACAAAAGATCGTATGATAGAATCCACCTTATTTAGTAACTTTTTCAGAATCTACTACTTACTCCGTATTAATATGGATATTTATTAAATCAATATATATATATATATATATATATATATATATATATATATATATATATATATATATATATATATATATAAGAGGAACTTTTTGAGAGCATACGGCGCGCCACATAATCCTGCCATGTCATCATATATTACAATTATTTATTTACTATTTATACATTTTATTGTTTTTATTACATTCTATTGTTATTCCATATTGATATGGAAACAAAAGATCGTATGATAGAATCCACCTTATTTGGTAACTTTTTCAGAATCTACTACTTACTCTGTATTAATATGGATATTTATTAAATCAATATATATATATATAAGAGGAACTTTTTAAGAGCATATGGTGCGCCACATAATCCTGCCATGTCATCATATATTACAATTATTTAATTACTATTTATACATTTTATTGTTTTTATTACATTCTATTTTTATTGCATATTGATATGGAAACAAAAGATCGTATGATAGAATCCACCTTATTTGGTAACTTTTTCAGAATCTACTACTTACTCCGTATTAATATGGATATTTATTAAATTATATATAAAAGAGGAATTTTAAGAGCATCTGGCGTGCCACATAATCCTGTCATGTCATTATATATAACAATTATTTAATTACTATTTATACCTTTTTTTTATTACATTCTATTTTTTATTACATATTGATATGGAAACAAAAGACCGTCGCGTATGATAAAATCCACCTTATTTAATAACTTTTTCAGAATCTACTACTTACTCTGTAGTAATATGGATTGCTATTAAAATAAGCAATTATTGCAACCACAACAATAAATAGTCATCCGTGCACATAGACTTTATTTATAAGAGCTCACTAATAAATTTACAAATACTTATTTCATACCACATGTTGAATGAGAAATATTTAAAAATAGTTTTTTAGATGCTTAATGAAGTAATATAGAGGATGTGAAATTAATTAAGAAACTTTTGTATGAATTCTTTAAAATCGGGTTCATAACCATTATGTTTAGTTGAGATGCTTATGTAGAAGTCCAATTTAAATATTTTTCATATAAATTTGAATTACTTTTATTAATTATATATGATTTCGAAAATATCAAATATATAGTTAGCTAAATTATGTACTACCCGTGCATCGCACGGGCTTGAAAGCTAGTTGAAAAATAATAAGCGACATCAACTATTCCTTACAGAGTTGCTACAAATTTTCAAAGTTATTAAATAAATATATACCTTGATTATTTTACCATCTATGCGAATATATATTTCCCTTTTCAATCGGCTTGGCTATGTGAATATATATTTCCCTTTTCAATTGTATCACATCATCTCCATCTCTTTTTACTTGCACAAATGAAAGAGAAAGCTTTCGATTGAAAAATGAGTATCTAGAGAAAGGAAACAAGAAAATAGGAATGTATAAAAGAAAGTAAGAAATATAGCAAGAAACGCAAAGTGTATCCGGTGAAAAGTATGACTGTATGAAAGCAACACACAGAAATTCTCAATTCACAATTAACTAAATGAGATCTTTTTTTATTTTATAGTGAAAATTACTAATGTATATTGTTAAGAATTCCACAAAATTGTGTATTTTTTTTATAGTGTCATGTCTTCCAAATCTTTGTTTCGATTTCTAAAGAGGGAAATATATCATGTATTGAATCATTAATTCAAAGTGAGGCCGGAGACATTAATAAGTACGTAGTACTTGATTTCGAATAAAAGAGTCACTTCGGAGAGTACATCTTCAGCCATGTTTCAAAAAGGTTGAATGAATTAGCTATGTTATGAATTGAGAAGGAATTCATTGATAATATATATTATGCAGGTTTATTAATACTTTTGCATCTAAAAATGTTCGACGTACTTAATTAGTTATTTAATATATCCAATGTCATTTTGCTATAATGTAAGAATTTAATTTAAGAATCGCGTTTTTGTGATATTTAATCATTAAATCTTAATGAATCTATATGACAAAGAAACACTATGTGTAGGGCCAATTTATGAAGATCGACTCAGGCCCGAGTTTAGGTAGTATTGGCACTGTTTAGAGCGTAGAGATGGTGGAATATAGAAGCAACTCTGAAAGAAAGGATGCTGGAGTACTTCTAAAGCTGAAGGCCTCTTGCAGGGATCCCATGAACAAAGTGATCCAATAAGATTAATCGCTTCTTCACCAGCAGAAGGTATTAGCTAGCACACAAAGATGTACACCTACAATCTTTGGGAAGTCATAGCCCATGCCATTTGCAAGTTTGAGACCATCTTCCCATTCCATCTTTGTTGGGGTTCCTATTACACTGCATATTTTGTAGACTTCGTCTGCTTCATTCATGCCAGGAAATAGAGGGCGAAGAGTAAACATTTCAGCCATTATTGCCCACATATCAACAGCAGATCCACAACTTGGAGACTGGAGAAGAAGTTCGGGAGCCCGATACCAGCGTGTGGAAACATATTCAGTATATGGTGGTTCAGAATTGATCTCACGAGCAAGACCGAAATCAGCTATTTTAATGATATCCTTTGAAACCAACAAGTTCTCTGGCTTGAGGTCACGATGAAAATATCCCCGCTGATGCATGTATGCAAGACCTTGAAATACTTGGAAGCACCAGTTTCTGACTTCTGTTTCTGAAAAAAGCTTTCCTCTCTCTTTTGTTAGCTCATATAGATTGCGCTCCATGTATTTAAACACAAAGAACAAGTTGTCATTTTCCCTGATCACTTCCTTTAGCTTCACTATATTCGGGTGGTTCATTTTCCTCAAAGACTTAACTTCTCTTAAATTTATACATTCTTCCCATGAATATATAACACTCTTTCTTCATCTTTTTGATTGCTACCATTTCACCAGTCTGAAGATTTAGTGCTCGCCACACACTTCCAAAAGTACCATTACCGACTTCATTAACTATATGGTACCTATCCATTTTTAATTAACCAGCACACAGCACAATTTATTGGATATAGAGGACACACACAAAAAATGTGTATGTATTTCTTTCTTCAATAGATGCCCGGAGAAGGCAATAGTTGTGTGTAACTACTGGTCTTGCTGGTTTATGAAAATCCACTGTTAATTTTGTATTAACTTCCACATAAAACCAGCAGGATTTTGATGGAGGAGCTTCACAAACATGATTGCCGCATCAAAGCAGTCACTGGGAACACAAGGTCGCGAAAGCAAAGTGATGCAAGGACTGTCAAACATCTTCATATCACCCACAGCCTAGCGTAAACATATTGCAGTCCAAACAAACAGGATTGCTTGTCAGCTCAATTCATGGTTTACAGTGACTTCTCAAACAAGAAAATGAGCTCTTCTCATTTATGCTAAACGTTGTTATGCAAGATCTTCAGCTGAGTAAATCAGATACTCCGATCCTAGCCGTTTACGTTTCTAAGAAACTAACCAAGCATTCCAGCCCAGCTTATTTTGAGGTTACCGTGCCTAGTGAGAGGTCTCGAGTTCGAATCCCGCTAGGCACACAAGGGTGTAATATGAGTTTCAGCCCTGATTACTGCTCCCCCAACCCCTACCCCAGACCCCCTGGAGTAAAAAAAACGTTTCTAGGAAGCTACACAACACCTCTAACACTTTTTTATATTAAATGACATGATTGATTCTTTTGCAGAACTTTATTGCTTAAATTATGAAATTCAAAAGATCCCAGATGACTGTTGTATTAGGAAAGCAGTAGCAATAATGTATTGTAGGAGGATAAAAGTGGAGCCAAAACAAACATAATACTTCGTAACAGATTGCTGCTTCTCACGCTTAATAAAATAACGAATTCGCATTTGGCCTCCTGTGGAGTTCATTGACGGAAAACTGTTGACTAAGTGCAGTTGACAAAGGAAACAAGAGGAGAATCTCCGCAGGTGAGAAACCGCCAATCAAGTAGGGGTGGGAAAAACCGAACCCAAACCCGGAAACCGACTCTGGACCGACCCGAATTATGATCCCGGTCCGGGTTTTTTTCTTTTTAACCGGCCCGAATTAAAAAAACCCGGACCGAACCGAAAATTCCGGGCTCATTAAGGGGCCTTAAAATATATAACCCGGTCCGGACCGAAAAACCCGAAACAATTAGTTTTAATATAAAATTAATATAGTATATGAATAAAAATAAAATATTTCCTAATATATGATTATAATCACGGTGGATAAAAAAATTTAATAACTTTTAGTGACTACAAATATGTTGAATTTGTTTAGCGTAATGATGACCATGAGAATATATTTATAGCAACTCTAGTAACTTTTTGATTTATAAAATTTATTTGGTAATATTTTTAAGAAACCTATATTATTCATATATATACATCTTACATAAAATACTAAGATAATTATCTTCTTTAAATTTGAATTGTTGGTGATTTTGGAGACTAATATTTGTGTTATTATTTGCGGTTTGTATTTTTCATTAATTTTATTTGAAAATAAGTGTTAAAATATAAAAGAACAATGACATATTTAACGTTCGGGCTTTAACCGGTCCAACCCGAACCCGGACTGAACTCGGGCTACCAAAAACCCGACTCGGACCGAATATAATGGGCTTTGTTCCGGTCCCTAATTTTCATAACCCGAGACCTTCCGGGTAATTTCCAGGTTTAGCAAAAACCCGACCCAGACTGGACCGATCCCACCCCTGTAATCAAGCACTTCCTGGAATGAAAAAACTCTATACTTGCAGAAATTGGATCAGGGAACATTTGCTCCATATCCTAAGTACTACTAATCCCTTGGAATTGTAGTCTAGCACAACCTGAAGGGGAAACGGTATAACCTAAAGGAAGCCAGCCACGGAAGAAGGAATCTAGATGCCTTCAATTCCACTTAATGCACAAATCAACTGCACATAATGCCACTCTATTGTACCCTTTGTGATGCACATTTCAATTTCATCTAATGCACATTACAGTTTCATCTAATGCACACTGAATTTCACTTGAAGCAAATCTAACGGTCCAGATTCGTTCTCATTTCTCTCATAAGATCGTGTTCTTACCTATATATATAACTGCGCTTTTAATTTCACAGTTATCTTCAAGAATTCATTCGAATGCATTCCCGATTGAAGTTTTAGCTGAAATTTGGTATAAATATACTAGACTTAATGAATAAGATGCTAAAAAAGTTCCATAAAAAAATTCCACCGGGAACCACCCCAAATGGTAACAGCCGGACAGAGCCTCCTAAATAAGGGCTTATTTGACTTTTTTTTGTTCGTACGTGGGCTTATTTGCCTCTTTTCCCCCAATTTAAAGTCAGTTTCCAAAGATGTGACCGCTTTTCTAAAAGGACAAAAAGTGACTAACAAGGTCATATATCTGGTAAAGCACGATGTCACTGCCAAATTTTTATGTCACTGTAAAATTTTCGTGTCACTATAATATGTTATTACCAGATTTTTATGTCACTTTTTGAATGTCATTACCATTTTAATGTCACTATCAGATGTCACTATGGTTGTAAACCGTGTCACCGTCATCGCCAGATAACTTCCTGACGACTTTTTCCGGCAAGATAGTGACGAGTCTATCTCCTCTCCATTTCCCATCCATTTCTTTTTTCTTGCTATCTCTCTCTACCTGTTTCTCTATCTTACTCATCCATAAACCACACCTAAAATCCCTTCCTCTCTATCTCTCTCCCACTAGAACTCTCTAGGAGAGGATCCAAATTCGATAATAACCTCTACGACTGAATAGTGACCATCCCACACCACTGGCCGCCACCCAGCCGCCACCCCACACCCCAAACAAGTAACCACCATCAAGCCCACTGCCCGACACCGATGTCTAATGCCCCCACATCGACGGCCTCTTCACTGCCCATCCCCGTCACAGTCGCGGCCACCACTCTGGCCGACCTCCGCCACAGCCCAGTGACCAACACCACTGTCCCACCCTGACATGACTCCCCAGAACCCCAACCCCCAGCCACCAACTCCGTCATATCCGCCATCTCCAGCCACCCCAATCGCTGCCGCACACCAATCCACCACTCCCAACCCCAATCACCCCTCCCAGCCCCACCTTTGGCAGTCCAACCCAACCCTGACCACCACTAATGAACCCTAGCCGCCGTCCTCCGCCAGATCTGGCCGCTTGCTGGTCTCCATTTATTGTCCTTCGATTCAAGGTCTATCTGAAGAAGAGAGAAGAAGAAGAGTGACAACAATGACAAGGAGAGGTGTAGCGGCGACGGAGTAGAAGGCATCAACAATGTCGAACAACGCAAGCGGTTGTGACGAGAAGAAGTGCAGCGGCGTTGATGGCTCAATTTCACGGCATCGGCAGCTCTGTCTCAAGAGAGAAGCATGAAATCGATCTGGAGCGGAGAAGATGACCGTGAAGACACCCGCATGTGCGAAGACCTAGTCTCAAGTTGGCGGAGGGCTCCGGGGGAAATTGGAGATGATTGGTGAAGGCTGAAGAGAATATGTTTGGTATCTTGGGAAGCAACGAAGCGGTACGTACAACTAATTAGGAAGATGAGTCTATAATTGGAAAATATCAAATGACTCATATATTTGGAAACGATAAGTCTATTACTAATATGCGGGTCATTAATTCTTTTTATTTTAGAAAAATAATAAGTTCTTAGACATTGGCATAGAAGAATAAAAATTTGGGTTTAAACTAAGAATTTTGGAGGGTATTTACATTTAAAATGCACATTTACATTAAATTAGAATTTTCCCCAAATTTTAAACGTAAATGTGCACATTAAAGTTTAAACTTAAAATTTAAGTTTAAACTGGAGGCTCGCCCATTGCACTTTTTGAGTTACATACGCCTCTTCAATTCTTAACATTGTTCTCACGTTAAGCCTCTTGGTGACCATGAAAACATATTATTAACCATTTTAATGTCACGTTTCCCATATATTTTATTTCAGTAAAATTTTAAGAAAACTACAAAATTTAGACCTCTTCAATGTGGCCTTGGGGAGAGTAGCAAACCAAATCTCCTACTCTAGGCACATCACGTTGTCCAGCACAAGCAAACCACAATTCTCACAGACTGCATCAAATTCATCCAGCGAATCAACATAACTAAACACTCCAAGATCATCATAGATAAAAATCAATATTTGTAATAACTGTGATATGTGCAAATCAATTCCATATCATGCAAATGTATGATACTTTTGAAATACATGATATGTTAATGAAAAATACTTCAAACAAAAGATCTCTACTCATTCTATCAAGATACCTACCTAGATTTTATCAAAAGATTCTTTCCCAAAACTAAATGAAAAAATCACCGAAATCAAATTTTCTTTATTTAGTTGCTACTACTTTAGAAAATAAATAAATGTATATCTACCTTGATGAATGCACCATCTCTGAGGACCTTCATTTCCAATAGGCATTGCCATGGCAATTACATCTTTTCCTTTTCCCTCATATTTCGTCTTCACCATCTCTTTTTACTAGCTTGCACAAATTAAACAGGAAGCTTTCGATTGAAAAATGAGTATCTGGTGAAAGGAAGAAAGGATGAAAACAACCAGAAATGTATAAATGGAACAAATCAAGATAACTACAAAGGCTGAGTTGATCTAACTATCTGAAGAAAGCAACAAAGAAGAGAGATATATATTCACATTGGAAGCATATGCTTCTCCGCCCGGTAGAAATGAGGTTGTTCTACTTTGCACTCTGTGACTTTTTCTAAATAAACAATGGTGAACAATAAATTTGAGTTGCTTATAATGATGATGATAGAATGACGAAGCCCGTTTGGGAACGCTCTCAAATACTATATGACCCTAGTGAAGGAAAAGTGTTGTCCAAATCGGACATAAAAATAAACAAAATCATAATCATGTACCTAATATGATTTATACACGAAACAAGAACGGAACCAGTACGAAACTTGCACGGACTAAATGTGTTTAGAAATCACACGAAAATAGCGGTAATGTTATAAAAATATGTAACACCTCTCTTCCATAAACGGATAAACCTCCTTTTAAAACCAAACA